CAAAATGGGCTCCGAAATCCATGTGGAAATCGGGCAAATTTGTGCGGAAACTGGGCAAATTGGTGCGGAAACAGGGTAAATCAGGGGAAAAATTGGGTAAGTCGGGTTGGAAAGTCTACGGGGAAGTCGGGTTAGTCGATGCGGAAGTCGGGTTATCACAAGGCTGGAATTTTTATTTCTTCAAAATTTCCCATTTCCCGCACAAATTTGGCGTTTGTCACAGCTAATGTTCACATTAAGACTTACACAAGAAAACCGACTTAGACAAACTAAAAGACTTACAGAAACTGAAAACAATTATGGACTCAATCGCTCTTAACAAATTTGTGCTGAAAAGTTCGGAATAATTCATTGATAGTTAGCTTCTGTTTGGTGATTAGAAAGTTTGTTGTTTGTGAAAATTCGTGATTGGAATCAATTTTAGCTTATTTCACTATTTAAATCTGCAATATTATGATTTTTCTTTCTTAATGTGAAATCTTTTTACATCATTGTTCGAGTAATCTAAACGACAAGCGCTGAGTGTGCGCGCGAGAGTGTGCGACAGAGATTGGTTTCACACTTTTATTGCTTGTAATTGAGATATTAGGCTGCGTTTGTATAGGCAAACATTCTCAATTGGACAATAAATCATTATCACTATTCGGTTTTCGGTCTGCGTATCAACATCATGGTATACAGAAAACTGAAAGGCGGACGTAAATGCCAAAAATAGAAGTGGAAAGGTACCTCGTCGTAATCACCATGCATTTGCTTGTTTACTATATCGATTGCCTTCGAAAATCTACTTGGGGAATTTCAACAAATTCTTCATTTTCACATGTTGTACTGTGCTGATGTGCGAATTTCATGTTCGTCGCCCCTTTGATTCATTTATAAGTGGCCAGCCAAATGCTTAAGATGCTTTTATTTTTATGTTGCTTCACCATATCAGTAAACTTTTGCATCACTGCACTCGAAAATGATGTTTGAAAAATGAAAATGAAATTGAATTCCCATTATATCTGCGTTTTAGCTTGATCGAAAGGAAAAAGTGAATGCAATTAATTTTTTCGCTGTTCGTTGAGACGTAGAAAATATCACCAGAAATATCACCAGTGAACATATACCAATACTCGTACACGCGTTAAAAAAGCTGTTTTTAATGATTAGATCTTAACAATATAACTAAATAAAGGCGAACATGTCGTCTCAGCATCAATAACATATTGGCTTTCTTTCTCATCCGGTCTGAGTGAGGTTTACAGTAAACAGTATACAATGATCGTTTTCACATGTTTCGATCGTTACCGTAAACTATCTCGTGATGAGCGTTTGATATTGAACCGTGCGAAATATTCATCAAATATCTGTGATGGACTTTCTATAAAATCTGTTGAGCACATGTGCAACCATCATAGTCTGTAAAATATGTGATGCGATAGATGTTTCTCGATCGAAGGAAATGCCCCGCCAGAAAGAAAAGCCCATTGCCAGTATTGCAACATATTTAACTGTTGAAGTAAAGTGAATTTTACAACCAATTATAAAACAATGTGAAAGAAAAAATGACAAATGACGACAAGATATAGAGAAGCATAAAATTGTCGAACGTGTGTGCAACGCTTTATCGGTGGTGCATTATGGGCTGACAGTTAGTTGTGTGTGCTGGTGCTCATTCCACGTAACGTTCATCATCGCTAGGTGGCCTTAATTGAGCTCTGCTCGCGCGTGATTAATTTTTCTCGAAAAAAATGAAACGAAAAAAAATCAAATTCAATTCCGCACATAAAAATCAAAAAGGGAACAACATAGCACACACAACAAAGACGCACATTTACAAGATGCATCGCGCTTTGTTGCGCATTGAGTTGCCGACATGCTTACACCACTGGTGCACTGTGATCAGTGCGGTGTCCCGTAAAAACCGCAGTGAGTCAAATCGAAATTGAAATGAACGTGGAAATCTTCTCCTTCCCTCCCTATGTCGCTCTGTGTGAACGCGATGAATTCGATATTAACGTAATAAAATGTAATTTTATTTGTACGCAGTTGCTATCACAAACACAATTCGACAAACGATGGCTGAGCCAAATTTTTCTTGTCTTTTCGACTTCATTGCGTCTCATATTTGGTGCCCTTCTTTGTGTTAAGAGGAACGCGTGCTCAATCGGAGCATTTTATGCACATCATTATCATTATTCATGTGATTTAAAATGGAAATGCATTATTTTTATCTAAAACTGTGAAACTGAACGAATGTAAAAAAAACTTCAACTGAAACAGAAATTTTTTAATCACTTTTACTTTGAATTTTCTTCCGAGACGTGAAATCGTTACGTAATATGCATCGATGCATTCCAAGCGAAACCGAACTCATTTACACGATAGCTATCATTCTGTTGTTCTGCTGATCATCTAACGAAGGAACGAGCCAACGAATAAGTTATATAAATTAAAAAATTGTTGCATCCAATTGAAAACGGTGTTTGTAATGTTCTTGTCGATATATTTTTAATAAGTGACGGAAGGAGAAAAATTGCTGTAAATCATTATCATGTGAATTGAGGCGATTTGCTTTTGGTGCATTGAATTCATTGTGTTCACTCACTGAGCGGATTCTTCTTCGTTTGCATTTTTAGCACTACATGGAATATAGGCTATTGTAATTGTTTTTTTTTTCACGAGAAAATTTTAAGACTCTTTAGGCCACTTTTTTGGACCGAAAATTAATTCTTTTTTCTATCCAAAGTTCTAATTTGAAATGAAGCAATTACGCCTAATTACAAAAATGAAATAAAATCATGTACTTGTACATGTAATTCTCTTTTGAGATAACTCAGAAAAAAAAAATTCACATTATTTTAATTCCCAATGTGAAATAATGTACAATTGAACGTACATAAAACCCATTATTAAAGATTACAATACAATATAAAGAACAATATAGAATTATGATTTTATTCAATTGATTGATTTATTATTATTTATAATATCAATATTATTAATAATTTTTGTTGTATTGGTACTTGAACTTTCATTTTCCCTTCTTGACTGAATTACGTAAATTAACAATTTCCACCTTAGATTTTTTCAAACACTCAATTTTGAATAACATAAAAAGAACGCAGAGAGGAGCGAAGCGACGATCTGCAGTCTTGTTTTTCATTATTTTCATCATAACACTTTGTAATTACACCAATGAATATTTATTGTGGTATATAGCAGAATGACGCGTGCATTGGTATGTGTGTGCCTGTGCAGTGTGCATGCCATGCGTGTCATTCTATTTCCACATGTGTGAAATGGTACATCTGTGTAACGAATAAGTGTTTTTCTAAAAAAAAATTGTATTAAAAAAAGGTTTCTTCAAATCTTGTTTTTTCTCTGAAAATGGCAAATTTTCAAGCAAAAACGACTGTAAAAATATATCTTTTCGAGAATGTATCCATTTTGATTGTTTCCTGCTGTGTGTTCTCCATTCTTTCCTATCTGTACATGAATATAGAATTACCATGTCACAAAAATAAAATAATCAGCCTTACATCGGTTGAATTGTGCTTGAATCAACATTCGAAAGTAACACGGAAAGAGAGAAAGAAAGAAAGAGAGGCACATGCAACTCGAAACACTAACCATGAAGGTAAGCATTAGTGTATCAAATGACAGGCGCTTATTTTGCCAAGTGATATTTTTCACCACTATCATTCTGCGTCTAAACACATTCTGTTGCTTGTTTTGCATCAAATCAAACTGATATAAGTTAATTAATTGTTTAATTGTTTACGACTTCTTATCCCTTTTGGCTGAACCTCACCAGTATTACAAAAGTACCAAACATAAAATCAATTACACTTTTTGTTGTTGCGTAGAGAAATGCTTAGGCTTCATGTTCATTTAGAGTTTTTTTTTAACGTAAATTATCTAGGCGTATGCGGCGGAGAGTAGTCGAAGATAACAAGTGCTTTCGACGAATGTATTCTATCGCAATATGCGCGTGCTTTTTTTTATATTCTGAAAATGTTAACCAAATGACACAAAACATGCACCATGTATTCTCACATAAAATGAAACAAAATATGCCTGAAAAACAGCAAGCAATGCACAATTGCACATCCAACATTGCAAGCAAAGCGATTGCCTTTTGTATGGGAATGCACAAACTATGCCACAGAAGAAGAACAAAACATGAGACACTGCATAAGTGAAACCCGATTAGAACATACGTACAAATTTGTCATGGGAAAATTGCTGCTTATTCCATCGAAAATTATGGAGAGTATATGCGTATATATGTGTGCTGCTAATTGCATTTTAATTGCTCTTTGTTCTACAAAAAAGTTATTAATATAGATTTTTTTAGAGGATGATAATTCTTCGGATGTAAAATAAAACCAAGTATACTCAGTAGCTAAACAACAGCGACAAGACTTTATTCAAAATGTTCAAACTTACAAAAGTCGGAAGATTTATATGATATCAAAGCGATGATCAATAATGAATAATGAATGTTTGAAATTCGTTTTCTGATCTACATTATAAAACTACACCTTTCTAGTGGACAACCTACGGCGTAGATTTAAACATTAGATTGAGTAAAAGTTTCTTAGTTGGATTATTATAACGTGTGAGTTGTCTGTTCAACGTGAATACGTCTTTGCTGTATAATATAGTGAAGTAGTTCTGATTTTTTTTGTCTGAGGCAATGGATCTACAAAAACATAAGCAAGTAGTTTTTTTATGCACTTACTTATGTAGTTTCTGATTGTCATACGGCCAAGCGAAAAACCACTCTTGCCGTTTATTTAAATACAGTCGGGATGCAAAATTTTGAGCCTTTTGATAAACGAGTGTATGAAAATAATTGGTTTGTTAAAATAGAAATCGCTTTGCAGTACGACAATCAAATTGGTGTGTATGGAATTCATTGCCTCGTTTATTTAGATTGTATGGAATTATTTTTTGTTTTTCTTCAAAAATGCGGCTATTAAATCCGGACAACTTATACCATCTTCCGGTTCCCATGTATCTTCTGAAGCCTTGCATCCCTTCCATCTAATCAAAAATTCTTTCTTTCCCCCTTTGCCTTTGCGTACGTTGACAACCTTTTCAACTTCCCATTCCTTCTCGCCATCTTCTTTGTCGCTTTCATCATCGCTTAAACTTTTGCGTGCTTTTTTAGCTTTTGATGCTTTCGGTGCAGCATTGGCGGTTCGTTTGTTCTTTGATGGTGTTGATTTACTGGCCGAGCGACACGAATCACGGAACTTCTCTATGAGCTCGTAGCAGTCGACTGATTTTTCAGATTCCCAAGAATTATCGCTCTCAGCCCAACCCTTCCATTTGACCAAAAAGTATCTGGCCCCGTTCTCCAACTTTTCACCAACGATCTTCTCAACCTCATATTCCTTTTCATCGTCTTTGCTACTCTCGTAGGCTTTGATGATTTCTGGACAACTTAAGGAGGCCTTCGGCTCCCAGGTATCATCTTTGGCGGTCCAGCCCTTCCAACGAATCCTGTAGTATTTTTTACCGTTGCGAATTTCATCACCAACAATCTTCTGCACTTCGTATTCTTCTTGTTTTGATGATTTTGAACCTTTTGTTGGGCTCTTCTTCGGTCGGCCACGTTTTGATGGTGATTTCTTGGTATCAGAATCTTCATCGTCTGTCAGTGGATCATCAACAACGGCTTTGCGTTCCGCAGCTGTTCGTTTTGGTGCCGCGCGAGTCGGTGTTTGTGGCGGAAGTGATATGCGAACCTTCAATGAAATTCCATTTTCATTATGATTGAAATCATGCCATCTACAAGGTCTAACAAAGAATACTTGGAATTTACCGACCTTCTTCTCCTTCTTCTCCTTCTTCTCCTTCTTCTCCTTCACTTCATTTGCTTCCGGATGCTCAGCCACATAGCGTTCAATGATTTCAGGACACGACAAATCTTTTTCTAGTTCCCAAGAATCGGCTGTTTCATCATACCCCTTCCACCGTATTTTGAAATACTTCTTCTTTCCCTTGAATTTATGGTCCACGATATCCTCTACCTAGTTTATTCAGAGGATTTATCATTAAATATTAATTTATTGGCGATCGAGTAAGAAATAAATAAAGCCCTAAAACTGACCTCATAGCCTTCCTCTCCGTTGCCACCATTGTCGGCGCTGCTTTCGGCAGCACTATCTCCGTTAACTTCAGATTTTTCGTCTTCATTCTTTGTTTCATTTTCATTTTCTGCGTCGGAATCAGCAATTGGTGATGGTGCTCTTTTACCATTTGTGCGATTAGACGATGATTCATCGGATTTTGAATTTATAAGTGCATCAAATGGATCGGCTGAACCAGATAACGGATCGCCATTTTCGAGCTCTCCATCGTTTGTGCCCTCGGCGTCCTTTGACCGACGATGCAAATGATCTTTTCGCATTTTTTCACTTAATTCAAATAGTATAAACAAACGTAATAACAACGAAAAGAAAAAAAAATGCAGTGAATAATTCGTTGAAAACAATACTAGGAAACAATAAAATCAATAAGATTGTTTATAATTACCAATTTTTCGCAGCAGATTCAATATTCGTTGAAAATGTTATGTTTTACTCACAACACAAAGTGGTTTGTTGTTGCCAAAAACAATGTCTGAGCAGAGTGAGAGACGAATGGCGCCGATTTTAGCTTGCTTTTCTTATGCGTTCATCTAGCGGTCAATGTGCAATTTCATCTCTTGCAAGTTGTCAGCAATGCAATCTCTAATTCAAACTGGTGCAACATTTACATTACTTGAAATGAAATAAATACAATTTATTTTGTCATATTAGTATGATATAAACAAATTATTCAAACTTATTTCTATTCAGAAAAAAGAATTTTTGAATAAATCACATGATTAAATACTGAATAGTTTAAATTTATTTCTGATGTTTGTCATCAGGCAACACCAACCGTTTGAATGCATTCCTGTCAGAACATCTTGAGAATTCGATTTACTTCGTTCACCTATGGTCATCTCTTTTTCTCCGCATAATGTTTGTAGTACAGCAAATGAAAGAACCGTATACATATTATCGATCCACAGAGAAATTATAAAACCAACTTCATTCAGTAGCAAACGACCAATAGAAACGCAATACGTTTGACAGTGACTCGATTACATTGCTGCCTAGCTATCTATTTACCCATTTTAAGTAAAATTGTAAATTGAATTAAAAAAAATGATTGTTTCAAAAGATAAATTATTTATTTCTTTCATCGTATTTATACAATTTATGAGTTTTTCGATTGGTAGGTCCCGGTAAATTATATTTATCATGTTGTTCAGATCATTGTACCATGTTTGATATGTGTGTTATCTTCTGATTGGTTGACGTGGTTAACAAAGATACTGCACAAAATTCAAAAAAAAAAAATTGAGAAACCTATTAAATTTTTTCAATACTCTTTATTAAAGCATCACACTCCACGCAATATGTAACTTATGGGTCAGTGCTAAAGATTTTAAACGTGGATTATAATGTTCGTCTACACTCTCATGATGTAAAATATGGCACTGGTTCTGGCCAGCAATCAATTACTGGGACCGAATTGAAAGAGGATATCAATAGTCATTGGGCTATTTTGAACGTTACAAACTCTGCATATATTCGTGGGTACGTTACTAAATCCCAAATCATACTTTATTTGTGTTAAATTGCATAGAAATTATTTTGTGATAATACTTGTTTAGAAAGCCGATCAAATGCGGAGATGTCATTCGTTTACAACATTTGTCTACAAATAAAAACCTCCATTCGCATCACTTCTCAAGCCCATTATCAGGAAACCAAGAGATATCCTGCTATGGTGAAGAGGGTAATTATCAATAGAGTAGATTTTCAGAAAAACTTTATAGGTATATTGACGTTTGAAAACGGTGGTATTGACAGGTATCGGCGATTCCGGTGATCATTGGAAAGTCGTTTGTTCAGATGATTTTTGGCTTCGTTCATATGGTGTGAAATTCCAACACATTGACACAGAGGTGTATTTATCTGTGAGCGGACGAACTTTTGGCAGGTAAATTCGAAAAATATTTATTCCCAACATAAATTACGAAATACTTATAACATTTTTTTTCCTTTTTATAATTAGACCGATCAATGGCCAAATGGAAATTGTTGGTTTGACAAACAGTTATAAGTCGACTGAATGGAAAGCGGCAGAGGGTATTTTCGTACATCCGAGCTCAGAACCAGCCAGAAAAGCCGAACACACGGAACTCTAAGCTCATTGAATGATTTTATAATGCATTTTTGGGGAAATTGTACAATTTTAGTTTAATTTTTAAAGAAAATAAATCCCAAACTCTGAATCAAGAATATTGATTTCAGAATGTGTGATACCATAGAATTTGATTGAGTTCCACGAAATAAAATTCACATACGAGCCTAAGCGGATTTTTTTTAAATGTAGTTTTATCAATAGGGTTTGGTTCCCTATAGGCGTTTCTGATAAAAAAAATAGATAAAACCGTTGAATATTTGAGCGATACGAATGGAATAGAACGATGATGTCTACAATCGAACTAATTTCGATATTTAAAAAAGAACAAAAATGTTTCATTTAAGCTTTCAGGCCCTTTATTATTTTTTGATACTTGTTTTGGTAGTAATAAAATAACGTAGGTATACTGTTCACATGATACCTTGAATGCAAACAAGACACGGACAATATGAACATATGTTGAAGAATCGATGAGTTCCATACACAAGTACTAGAAAAGCATTGACGTTAAAACCAATCGAAAAATGAAAACAATGCCAAATGTTAACAAAACAACACAACTACATGTAGTGTGATGTGGTAAGCGCGCATGTCTTTTTCCGTCACATTCCATTCGAAACCAATGTCAAGCAATGAACACCAATACAAAGAAGAATGGTAAATTTTCACCACTAATAGATACGATATCATCCATCCTATATCACATTTCTGAGTCGCAGTATGACATTGTCTTGGCTCAGTCGTCACAAATATAAGTGCAGTGAAAGTGAACGGAATCTACCATAAACATATAGTGCAGAAAATTTTATCACACGAAAAAAAAAACAAAATTCGTATCAATTTATCGAAAATAATTTGTAATGAAAATGAATAAATCTCGTTGGTTCAATACTTGATGAAAAGAAATCACAACTTTTAGTTTGTGTAAGGGTGAAGTGAAAGACAAATTACGAAACCATTGCGATCGAATTGAAATAAATGGTGGTGAATCAATAAAGTTTTCAAGTTTTCTTTTTACATTTTCTTCAAATTTCATTTACACCACTACATTTCATTTTTTGTTTTAAAACTTCCTTTTTGGAATTTTGGTTGATTTTGTCCACACATAAATCAGTCATATCACACGTAATTGTGCAAATTGATTTGTGATCTATTTTTAGTTCCGTTGAAAATATTCAGAATTTGAAAATACCTACGAATTATTCAAGTCAATTAATCATCTAAGAATTTGAGTGCATAAAAAGATCGGACACGAAAAAAAGGAATCAAAAGATCTAAACTCAACAATAATATATTTACTGCTTGTTGAGTATACTGCTGAGCGAACTAATTGAAGTCAGTCCATCATCCATTTGTGAAATGTTGAATTCATCAATTAAATATAGTGTTCCCTCAGAAATATATCTTCGCGAATCGAATTCATCAAGTGTTAAATAATTTGTCAGTATCGACAAAAGGCTGATAGTAGCCGAGGAGAAATATTTTTAGTGAGTCTGTAGTTGCAAAGCAGGATTATACACAACAATCAATATCAAAATGTGAGTACATCATGAAAGCATTTCGATTTTATGTTAACTTCTTATTTGTAAGCGAATCCTCTCAAATGTTGATTGAAAATGCGTAGTGAGAAATCGATTGTATTTTCGTTGACAGTTCTAGTACATTTGCTTTTTAGTAGTTGTTTATAAAGAGCTTAAGGAGAAATAAGTTGTTTTTTGTCGAAACTTGTATTGAAATGGGATAGCTTTTGTATTTTTCTTATGAAAAAGAGGGGTTTTAGGTTGTTTTTCTTTTATATCAGAGCCTGTTTTTCGGGATCTTCCCCTTCTTCTTATTGTGAAATTCGTGTTTATTTTATTGAATGCAATGTGACTTATATTTTTTTTTACGTGAAATTACTTCTAGATCAGTTTCAAGCTATTTTATGTTTAAAAAAATATGAGTATATATAGTATATGTAACTTACATTGCATTCAATAAAATAAAACTGAATTTCACAGTAAGAAGATTTGGAAGATCCCAAAAAACAGGCTCTGCTTGATATGAAAACAGTTAAGTCTCATTGGATTAAATTGTGGTGAGAAGTAATGAAATGGTTTTGACGTTCTGGAAACACAGCATCGATTGCTGTATCCATTTATTCTTTCTGCGTATTAGAAATAAAAGAAATCAACAAGGAAATATAACACCATAGATATTGTGCTTCAGGATCATCAATGAAGAAAATGAAAATTATTTAAACAACATTGCAGCAAAAGAGAGTCGAAATGAAGGAGCTTTTGCAACAAAAGTAGTTGACACACGTATATTCCGTAAGAAAAGCGCTGCTTTTTTATTCAACTTTATCCAAGTGTCCTTCAAAAGAACATTGAATACTCGTGCACAAGCACACACATACAATTGCATGGTATCAATATATACGCACAATCCCTCATACAAAACCAGCTTACATTTGCTATATTTTCGAGATATCGTCCAATAACGGTTGTTTGTTCTCGTGTTTATGTGTTTGTGTTGCGTAAATCTGTATGTGATGAAAGAAAGACATTTGAGCATTTTATTCGTTTTCATTGGATTTTCGCTCTGCATCTGTTTTCACGAATTGAATTTGTACGATACAAAAACTGAACGTTCGCAATCGAAATATTTATGATTGCACCCGCGTTCTCATTTTATATTGTCGAAAACTAAAATGAAGAATAACCTATGCAATGGGACAAAGTTCTTTATTGCGATTGTAAGAGTTATATATATGTATATATAACATACACACGAAAAGAAAAATACACACAACAAACTGTATACAATATCTCCTGTATCATCGCATTTCGATGTAAGCGTCACTCAAAAGTGGCTGAAGTAGTAGCACGTGTCAGTATATGGTTTGATGTCGATACTCCGTCATATCGAGAGAAAGTCATATCCAATGTATAATATCCATCCTACTTGGGCTTAGGCAATATTTTTCATTTGCCATCGAGTTTTGGTTCTGCCATCATCAAAATTATCTTCTACAATCTACATACACATACACACAAACACAGCGTGAGTCTATGAATTATGTACCATGCAGAGTATTCCTATTTTGATAGACATTCTAAACGAAATTCGTTGTAATTCACGCTAGTGACGAGAGACAGAAAGTGTGTTTTTAGAGTGCGGCTCTTGTTTAAGAAGTAATTATTTTGGCAAAAAGGACAATATTGCGTTTGACTCTTACAAAATTTCGGCAGCGCCTACTTGTTGGTCGAAGTAAGCAGAAGGCAATTACATTACGCAAACTTGATTTTCTTTATACGTTATAAATCTCACGTCATCCACTTAAGCTGCGAAGCTTCTCAATCTGAATAGAAGTGTACCGAACTCTTCCACCTTTCTACCGCTTTTTTTACATTGGTCTGTGTACACAATTCAATAAGAATGAAGTTCAAATATGATTAAAGCAATGAAAACTCAACTCCAACGCTATTTTATATTCATTTTTGACCGAATTTGATTATGAACTGATTTCGCTGAAATATACAATTTATTTATATATATATAAACATAAGAAACATTGATTAGACAATATTTGGCATATGAGAACTGACAATTCACGATTTCATGCTAAGCTTAGTTATCAATTGATTAAAAAATCCTGCATTTTCATTTCTTGTGTATCTAAAATTCTAAAACAAAACGTATTCAACTAATGTGAGTAAAAAACGGGTGAAGTTCAAGCATAGCAAAATAATGAAAATACCTATGGAGCAAAATGTTTAGCGCGATGTGCACAGTACCAAGAGAAAAAAAATGCGACGAAATTGAAAGGAAAGTCTTACTTGACAAGAGTCTATCGTGGGTGCGTGCAAAAGTACCGGTGGCTTTGTTTCGATTAGAAAATTGAAAAGCGATAGAAACGGTTCCAACAAAGGGGAAATCAGCAAAAAAAAATGAATGGAGAAAATCAACACCGTCTACAGTTTTATTGTATGTGAACGAACAACAAGTTTGATTTCAACTTGATTTCCCTATTTCGATACAATATTTCTAGCTTGACCTTTTAAAATTAAACCCACTTCATGCCACTTCGCTGTATTTCTTGTTTTGTTTTACTACGCTTGATCCGGTTCAAAGCGTGTGTATCTGTCTTTTATTCGCGTTTTCTACATAGGATTTTTCCATACGCAATATTTTCACACTTATATACTGAAAATCCACTGACTTGAGGCATTGCTGATGTGTATGGGAAGGCGTATGGAGTGCGTGTACCCGCGTTTGTGCCTATGCGTGTTATATAATCAAACGATAGAGTTTCTAAGCGCTGGTATTGAAGAAAAAAACAACATATATCTAAACCATAGGAAGGCAAGGCAAGGCAAGGCAAGGCAAGATACCTAACTAAAATAGGTTTGTATGCCTAAAAGCACAGCAAACACAACATGAACATGCAAAACGCCACTTTCGCTTTCGATAATATTTTTACCATTTACCATTGCCTTGGCCTTCTCTATCTCTTGCCATGGATGATGGAGATGCCAGTGTAGAAAAGCTTCATCTGATACAATCGATGTTGATATATCTGTGTTGTGTATCGCTGTGATAAGAATGATATGACCGTTAGATAATTGTTATGGTGTTGTTTTATTGCTGCCAGTGCTAATCATTCAAAAAGCCATTCTAGGTGAAAATTTCATTTGTTTTGGATCTTCTGTTAACTTTTACATTTGCTGCTGCTGTCATTGCCGTTTGTACTTCTGCTACATAAATTGCGCGCAACTGTGCTACTTGAATTTGATTTGCGGTATGAAGCGTAATACATAGCAGCACAGAAGCGATAAGAGAGTGACTGTGATACAGTGGGACAGACAAAAGAAAAATACTTTTCGTAGGTCATGGAACAATCGGAAAATCTATATTTCGTAGTTGTTTGTTCCCCTATAAAGTGGATGTGCGAAATATTTTGTTGTGTTGTGTTGTGTTGTATTATATTCTATTCTTTTGTGTTGAGATATTGTTGTATGACTGCGCACATCGCATCCAAACGCAGACACACGGACGGACGGACTATGATTGTGGTGATGATAAGCTCAGCTCTGTTAGATGTTTGTTGAGTACAAATATGTTGGTGTGCGTGGCTTGTCCTATTCTCTACTAGGAACGTTCCATTTTCCCTCTCCCTCATAATG